ATATAACCAGCCCCCATTCTCTGGTTAACCTTCTCTTTCCAGTTGGTGTTTGGTTAGGATCCTTCAAAATTTATAATACTTTACCAAAACTTTTTCTTGATGGCAAATCCTGTTTTGATGTGGGTGTTTTTTCCGTAAACTGATAATTCCATTTTCCTCTATGGTATCTCGTCCTGGCCACCCTTTTCCTTGAATTGATGTTACATCCATTCTGTAATCCGATAACTAACAGGTCAGTTCTGCTTCATCCGAAATCGAGGCAAAATGAAGTTTTACGAAGGTGGGAGGGTATTGGTCCCATGCCTCACCTCTCAACCCTGGTTGTCCTTCTGTGTACGCATTGACATTTCCGGCTCTCAGGGTCACCTCAGCAAGGTGGAGACACGTTGTAGAATGGGGTGAACAAGATGGAGGAAGGGTGAGAAAGGTGGGGGACATGGGGTGGATAAAAGTAAGGTGACATTCGTTTGGGGCCTGTGTTCCGTTCAGAATATATAGCAGAAGAAGATGAACAAATACATCACCCATCGAGTGCTGGTTAAAACAAAAATATTCAGCTAGCACTTCAAGACTTTACCTGTCTTATTTTCTCAGAATTTTAGATTTCATTTTATTATCTATATAGACTGTATTTAATATATACAGAATGCATTTAACTGTTATACAGATTACATTTTGTTATTTATACCAGTAGTATAAAAGTATCAGTTAACTCTTTGAGTCCCAAGGAACACATCATACGTTCATAGATTCCTGTCTAGAAGCCCAATGAACGCAAGATGCGCCGATTTTACGTCTCTCTTGACTACCCCTTGAGCCTGTGATGCTAAACCCCCTGGGACTCAAAGAGTTAATCATGCCTCTCATCTCTGTCTTTCTTTCAAATTAACACACTTTCATTGTGTTTATTGATGTATCATTATTGTATTTTGTGTAGGTTCTTCACCCAAATATCTGGGAGACGTTTCATAGAGATCTAAAACTGATGAAAACTGCTGCCAAATATCTGACTATTATGTTTCCCAGACTTCACTGGGTCAACTTAAATCAGTGTGTGCAAGAATTCTCTGCTACCATGCACAGACAGGTAGGCAGCAAATTGTTTTAGTATGTTTTTTTCTTGTTTATTTCTTCTTATTTTGTTTACACCCATAAAATTACAGTTGGCACATTGTATCTGCATCTTTCAGCTCAGCCCTTGCGTGGTGGGGTCTCTAAGTGGGAGAACCGTCTCAGGATTGTCACATAGGTGTATCTGCACGTTTGGATGGTGGCACACACATAGTAGGCACCTGTACATAGTTCGCTGGGTGTTCTGTCCCTGTTCTGGAAACTGCCAATGTGAGTGCATTTGGCAGGCAGTAGTAGTAAACTTGACAGTGAATCACTGATTACCAATTCATTGTCGTCATAATGTATTCATTCATCCATAATAAAGAAACTGATTGCACTCCAAGATCATACTTGGCGTGGTGTAGCGTTTTCAGTGAATGTTAGTGGTTATGAAAGGACATGTAAGCTGTACCAGAAATATAGTAAGTAAAAAAAGTAAAAATCTACCAGATATATAGTAAGTAAAAAAAGTAAAGATCTACTAGATATTTAGTAAGTAAAAAAAAAGTAAAGATCCCTTTTCACGCCTTAGGCCCATCTGGTATATGGGAAGAGTGTCCCATATTTTTACAGACCAATGTGCATTACGCCGGCCAGATATATAGTTGTTGCTAATACTTTACTTGTTCCTGGGTTATCATGGTGCTCCTATTGTCACTGGCCTCTCCTTGCTCTCCTGTAGGAATCCAGTAGTTGTTTTGTCATTTGAGGGAGCTCTTGTATGAAAGTGGAGCAAGTTATACACCCTAGGCACTTGGTAGGATGTGTTATCCCTCTAAGAACGCATCAAACTGTCTACAGGTGATACCTGGCCTGGTGTAGCTAACACAGGTGCCCTAATTATAACTTCTTTGGAGGTTAAACAGGGTATCTGGAATTTACCTTGTGGGTTCTTAAATCTTAGGATGTTACCTTTAGGTAGCAGACCAGAGGGGACAATATGGTAAGTAAAAGGCACAAAAGACCTGATAATGACAGAGTCACACATTGAGTATGGATTCTTTTTCTTCTGCCTTTCTAACCCCCAGTGAATCTTAGGCCCTCAACCAAGTCATTCTATCCTTTGCTAACACATGCAGCTCTCCCCGTATCCTTCTCATCTTTTTAGCTTAACTCTCTCCTCTCCATGTATTTTTTGGTCTTCCTTTATTACTGTGCCCCTGGGTGCAAAGACATTCTAGCTATCTTGTTCTCATGTTTTCTCAACATGGTCCTATCCAATGCCGGCGTCTTTTCTTCACCTCTTGCTCCATGGGAACTTCTTTAGTTCTCTCCCAAAGCTCTACATTAGTGAATCTGTCATACCATTTAATTCTCTCTATTCTGCTCAGGCACTAGTTAATGAATATTTGTAGTTTATTAGTAGTTGTTCTTTGTTGCATTAGTTGTTTTCCATCTCTATACAGCAGTGCTGATTTGACATTAGAATTAAACATTTTTAGTATTAGTTTTAATTTCTTTTGACCTCCACAAGTTCCCTAGTGCCATGGAAACTCCTCTTGCTTTTTGTATTCGTATTTTAACATCTCTATCAGTTCTACACAAATAGGTGTATGAATCCATGTCTTTGAGTGGGATTCCATTAAGAGAAACCACATTACTATTTGGATTTATTCTCATTATCTTCATCTTTCCCTTATGGATTTTCAGACCTAGCAATTTGGATCTCATATCAAGTGTTTTTAATTTATTTTGCATCTAATTCCATTTCCGTGAGTGGGACAGAAGAGAAATATTATCAGCGAAGTTCAGATCATCAATTCAGTTCTTGGTGTTAGCACTAGCTGTCATCATAATCCAGTCTGTTGCCTGTAAAAATAGGAGAGGTGACAAAACACATCCTTGCGCATACCTGATTTTATTTCAAATGTCTTTACTAAGTTAGTAATTTTCTGTAGGATTCCATAGTGCTCCAGTAATTTCTAGAGCTAGGTTACACCTTTTGGCCCAACATATCCATTTTCTAGATATCCGTAATTAGTATGACATGCTTTATACAATATAGGTTTCACCCTATGTGCCCAGTAGCCTGCGTGCATGGAAGAAGGTCCTTCACTTTCACTTTATGACATGCTTGTTGGGGGGGGGGGGGGTATTATTTTTATGCCACCAAAACCATTCCATGGAACCAACAGGGAAGCCAAGTGCAGTTAACATGAAACTCTTTATTTACAGCTGGACATGCGATATGAAAGCCAGTCTTTGCAGAAGTTTGCTCATGATTTACGGTCATTTCCTAGAGTTACGGTTCCTCAGCCAGTTCCTTTCTTCGTGAGACATAATATTCTCGTTGAGACATTTGAGGTAATATCTACATGTATTTTGTAGTATGTAATGGGTAAATTTGTTCACATTAGGTTTCGATACTTGTTTAACTGATAAACTTGTTCATATTAAACTTTAGACACATATAATTAGCAGTGTAGTTTGTCATTAATTTTATATATTTTGGTAACAGGCAAACTAATTCATGATTAATTTTAGATCCTTGAGGAATCATAAACTAGTTTGTCATTAATTGTAGACACTTAAAGATAAACTTATTTATCTTTACAGCCTGGCTCTCTAGCGCAGTTAGCTAAACCGGATTGCGCGGTGACCGGGTGACGAACTCCTTGTGGTCCGGGTTAACTCCCGGGGTAGCCACATTTCTCCCAGATTTACGGTATTTACAATGGAATCAAGGCCGAAAGGTTGCGATATCCATAATACTGAGCCTAAGGGTTAACAACTCATGGCTTCTGGATACTAAAAAAAAAAAATTATCTTTACTGTTTAATACTTATGAAACTAGTAAACCTATTCATCACATAACAGTATTGTAAAGATCATCCTAGAGGGAAAGGTTTAAGGTAGGCGAGCAAGTGGCAGACAGCATTACAAGTGGGAGGATAACATCAAGAGATGGATGAACAGCAGTAGGAGTGAGTGTACATCAAGGGCAAGAGGCAGGGCTTGTTGGAGATCCATTGCAGCCAACCTTCATTGTGGAGACGGCACCTGATTGATTGATTGAAAAATATTCATCACTAAATGTAATCAGACTGTAACGTTAGTTCAGTTTTCCGTAAATATGGCTTTGTTTCTGTTTCAGGATGGTGTTAGCATGTGTCAGATTCTGACTTCTGCGGATCACTCAGCGCAGCTGAAAAAGGAATTGGCTGGCATAGGGTTGGATTTGCTTTTGCAAATGGTAAATATTTGAAGCAATTTATCCGAACTCCTAACATTCTCTAATTCTGCAGGCTTTTAATTTAATAGTGTGATGTGAAAGAAAGGGTAATAGTCATCATTCAACATTTTTGCAAACAGTTATCATGTCATAATCGTGACGAAGAGGACGAGAAAGTGACCTCTTGCCATGAATGTTGCCGTTTGTGAATTTCTTTACCCTTTTTGCCCTGTGTTTTGCGATTTTATCATTCATTTTTTGTTCTAATACGGCTTTTGGCAGACACTGCTACAGCTGTATAACAACTTTGGAATTGTTAGCCACTGTGTAGTGTTTACAAGGCCTAAAGTTATTATATTTACACTTCCTTTCCTTTTCCCACCCTGTCCCCAAGCATTCGATACATTTATTTTATTGTTTTATGTCATGTTGAATGTTGAAAAAAGAATTGACATCATAGCACTCGGGACACTTCCATAAGCGCTCAATCCCCATCTTTAGCAGCAAAAGAATAGTTCCATCTGTCTCGCCTTTCCTTTGAGTGTTGTGCATCAGCCAGATCCCCTGGTAACTCATCGCAGTGCCATTCTCCTTAGACGCCGGGACCTCTGAAGCGATGCTTGCCACTCTGCACAGAGTATACCTGTCTCCACCTTTCTCAACATACTCTGTGAGTCAGTTACAATCACGGCATCTGTGTACAGCTGATTCTCAAGCCAGCGGAATGCAGCAGAGACTGCCTCCACCTCCATTCTCAAACTAGACGTTGTGATCTCATATGCCAGGCTTTGTTGCACTAAGCAACGTCCATTCGCTATTGCTATGAACCCCCATGTCCTTCGTCTGCCCCTCAACACAGAGCCATCTGTATAGATAATCACTTCACGTGGGCAGGAATTGTCATGAATCATTTGTTGAACTTCTGATTCTGCAGCGCCGGCTGGTCAGTCGCTGCACTCATGACCCAAAGGGGTAAGAATCGAACACAAGTCTAAAACTTGCGCCGACACTTTGACCCACTGCTTACCTCCCATCACGCCTGCACACATGTCGCTGTGTCAACAACAAATTCATTTAATTCTCTCCTAAGTTTGGTTTTATTAATTACTTTCCTTCATATATGGCTGCCGATTTCTGTTCCAGTATCTGCTGACATTTTAAAAGTTATTTTTTTCTGGCCAGGGAGTCTAAATTTTCCATAACCCTGTTACAGAGTTGAGTGTTTGGTGTGACACATAATGCACTGAGGATTTCATGCGACATTTTTTTGGGTTATGCCTATACAGTATCAGTCAGCATCTGTGGCTTAAGCGGTTGCGAACGCGCTTCGTAATGTTGGGGTGCCGGGCTCGATACCTGCTGCGGACAGTTTGTCTTGTGATGATTTCGACCATGGTACCGAGAGCTGACCGTTCAGAAAGCAATTGCAAACTACTGGACATAAATTTGCCTAGAAAAACCACAACAGCCAGAAAGTACTGGGGTTGGTTCTGCAACGTCCTGTTAAATTATGCACTATCAACTTCTAAAGTAGGGCAAGCAGAGATTTAAAAGATTTTCCCTAGAAAACCTGGCAGCCTTCTTCATTGTTTTACATTGTGTATCCGTTTATTTCTTTGGTTTTCACCAGTCTCTTGAGCTTTTGTAGTAAATTCTACCATTTTCCTAATTATAATCACATTTTGATTATCAGCTTTTCATTGTTATTTTAATGGCTTTGTTTCCTTATTTGTGAGATAGTATAATGAATTTGGGTAAGGAAAGAAATTCAGCTTAAAGTCGTTTTGTTGTTTTCTCCCCCAGATTTTTGTCAATAATTTTGTCCACGCTGATCTGCACCCAGGAAACCTGCTGGTGCAAAATATTGACAGCTTTCAGCTTGAGGTGAGAATTTCATTGTATTTATCTTGATGTTGTCCTCCTTCTTGTATCATTGCCTACCTCTTGCCATCAACCTTTCCTTCCAGTATGTTTTTTAAAAGCATGTTATGTCTTTTAATTTTGAAGTATTTCAGTTGTCTTTCTTTTAAAAAAAACTCCTTCAGTAATTCTCTTTCCAGAATCTCTGTATTGGACTGATCTTATTTCCACAAATGATCTTTTTTTCTATTTCCAATTCCATTTTCTAGTTGCTTTTTCATTGTCCAAGTTTCTGCACCGTATAGCAGTACTGAGTATACATAACGTTTAGCGATTCTCATTTTTAGTGTGTGGTTGATCTCTATAGCTGTCAGTCTTCTTCTTCTTCTTCTTCTTCTTCTTCTTCTTCGATCCTTTTGTCAGAAAACTTATATAAGGAGGCCAGGAGCCTTGAAGAAAGCTACTGTGCAGTCCATATGCTCTCATGTACTAAACAGCTTTGTCTTCATTGTGGTTCAGTAATTTGCACATCTTATTGATGATCATTTTTATTTATAAATACTACCTGCCATTTTTTTACTTATGATTTTTTTTTTAAAATTTGAAATTGATCTGGTCAATGGGCATATAACTCTTGGATAAGGTTACAGCAAAGAGGTTCAGGCACGTTATGCTATTGGCCGATGGTAACAGCTGGTTACCATGATCCCATTCATGATCCTTTCATTTCCGTTTCTTTAAGGGAAACAATTGGGATTTTCCACAAATTATTTTTTGGTAAGCTCCCATGTTGATGACGCGAAAGTTGTTTTCAAAATGTTAACTGATCAGTTGGGGAAATATGTATGATGCTATATGGAGTATTTTCTTGACTGAATTAAATCTGAACAGTTTGATGTAAAATCATGAAAAAATGTCAACCCAATACTTCTGCTTCTTTATTCACCATCTGTAAGCTCGGGTGGAAAGTCCGGGTTGTTCATCCATTTGGACTTCGGCTTTGTGTCAGGCCCCGAGTTTTTTGGGTACATAAACTTTACTGGCTTGTGTGAGATAGTGGGACAGTAGGCATGACTGAGAGGTTATTGCAAGGTATGTAACTTAAAATTTTTTAGGGGAGAGAGAACACAACAGACTGTTTAAAGAAACTTGTGAAATTTTTCTATTAGAATATCAAATAAAAGTAATACCAAAAGAAGAGGCTGAGCGACTCTGAAGAAAGCACATTATCAACACACAGAGTAATAATTTTGATACAGTATATGAATGTGAATCAAGGACCCAATCACATAAATGCAGGGAACCTGATTTTTTTTCTTTCATTTCAAACATGACCTTGGCTTCCACTCAATCCAGCCTTAAATGATTACCAGATAAAGTCTTGGAAAGAAAAATGGCTACACCTCACCCATTAGGGCTGACTGGTTTATGAAAATGTGAGCCTAGCCTGGATAGACCTGATGCCCCACTGGTGTATATACGGACCTTTACTTACTTCTTTAAATTTTGTAATTTCAGAATGTCATCCAGAGGAACACCTGGGACACGATGGCATTAGACATAACTCCAGAAGTGCAGGCTTCACTGAGGCTGGTAATGCTTGATTGTGGCATCACAGCCTCCCTGTCTCCAGATGAAAGGTTGAAATTTCGCGAAGTTTTCATTGCAGTCATCAGAGGGCAGGTAAGAAACGGATTATTTTAACTGAATTACAACAAACCCTAGTTTGTGACTGGTCCTGTTAACTTCTATGTCTTCCACGTTGTTGTTTTTCCACCTTAGTTTCTGATTCTCTTTCTTTCTCACATTTGTAAAGTCTCCATTTATTATCAGGTTAACTCAGTAGAAATTGCCATATTTTTACATGTTAAGATTTAAAATATTTATTCCTTAATTTTGGGCTAAAATATCATATGGAAAAATACGGTGGACGACTGAGCAGAGTATGGCCAGAACTTGCTCTCATTCTAGAACTTGAACTTTACCGGCATTTATAGATTTTCATTGTGAATGCGCTTCGATGCTGGGTTGCTGGGTTCGATCCCAGCTGTAGATGGTTTGTCTTGCGTTGGTTTCAACATTGGTATCGAGAGCTGACTGTTCAGTAAGCAATAGCAAATTACTGAACGTAAAATGTGCAGAGTAAAATCACAACAGCGAAATAAATGCTCGGTTGGTTCTGCAAGGTCCTGTAAAGGATACGCAACTTACTGTAAAGCAAATTACTTATTGGTTCCTCAACTCTGTGTTCATGCGAAGTATTTTATACGAATGTAGTAACAGCTGATGTTAGTAAAAAAACACCCGTGAAATGAGATCATATGAGAAATGAGGACATATTAAATAATGTGGATGTCAAATAGCAAGAGGATTTATCCTTCTGGTCCAATCAGAACACTCAGGGGAGATTGAAGTCTAGTCGTGCCCTCTAGGTGTGAGCATGGATCTATAAATAACAGTCACCCAATCTGGGTTGAAGGAGGATCCCACTTCCATCACCCTATTCCCAACCTGACAACCCCGAACAGTAAACTGAAGCCACCATTACATTGGTCATCTTCTTCTTCTTCTTAAAGTCCATGCCATGTGGTGTTGTTAGTCATGTTTATCCACAACCTTCTGTCTCATGTACAGATAATCCTCCATGCCATGATGTCAAACTGTCCAGCATCTGTTCTCTCGGTCTCCCTCTGCCAGATTTAAATTAAGGTATAATAATACCTCTAGGAAAATGAACAAACCTGAATTATAAAGAAGTGACAGGAAAACCTCTGCAAGAAATATAAAGACAACAAGTTTAATGTAACAAATCACAGAAGCCAATGCAACCACAAATGCAAAGACAGATATCCCAAGAGTTACACCCTACAAAGTAGGAAGACATTATGCTACACAACTCAACACACAGACAGTAGACATAGTCCCATATCAAATACAAAATCATTGTATATATGAATGTCAGACATCAAAGTAAAACTGCTTGTGTGAATCTATACACAGTTCACACAGTGTTCTCTTCCTGGAGCTGGTTGAGCTGGCAAGGCCACAGCTGACTTTGACATAAGCACTTGGCTCAGTCATTCATGGGAAACACATGGACAGCTAATGCCATGAGCTCTCTGAAGAAAAAACTTGAGCAAGGCTCCTTAGACAAAGAGCAGATAAACTGTCTTTCACAATGACTATAATCATTCAAATGACACTGTCACAACCATGTTGGTTAAGACTGCCTTTCACAATGGCCATAATCTTTCAAATGACACTGTCACTATTGGTTACTACTATAGTATTCCTTACTCTGGTGCTCGTCACAGTTCATTCCTTTATACACAACAAGAACTGGGTCCTGAAGCAGTTCTGTTACTTAAGATTTTTGGGATGATACTAGTGTACCATCATCCCTCACTATCTTATGATCTTGTGTATATACTGTATTCAGCACTGTAAGCATGGTTAACAGGCCCTCTCAGTCTGTCTATGAAGACCTGGACACTCCTGGCTTATATCACTTTAATATGATTTATTCAGAATAAGAACAAGTTACAATTATGTTATTCATATATCACCTCAGGCCTGACCATGCTGCAGTCTTGGTGTTGTAGTTAATGCTGGCTGACGAGCTTTGACATTGATTCTGATAGCCTGGACTAATCTTGCCTACCGATCTGGTAGCCTAGATTAATCGTGCCTACCGATCTGGGAGCCTGGACTAATCTTGCCTACCGATCTGGGAGCCTGGACTAATCTTGCCTACCCATCTGGTATTTAGAGCCATTCATCTTCTTCTTCTTCTTCATTTCAAGCCCTTGCTGCAGATATCACCGGCCTCCATTCCTCTCTCTGGTTGGCCTTCTCTTTCCAGTTGGTGACACCAAGTGTTTGCAGGTCTGAGCCATTCATATGATGAATAAATAGAAGAAAAGGCCACAACTAAAATAATAAAACAAATACCCTTCTGTAGTTTATATACATCTATGAGATCTATGCATTTAGGTCAGTATAAATGGTATTAAGTCATACACAAGTCATGTAACATAACAAATGTACATAAATGCACACGGTGTAGATACAGCAAACAACCAGGTCATGTTCAGAGGTGTTCATGTCCCTAGGCAATGAGAACAAGATAAAAACCAAAATCAGAGAAGATAAGATCCATATATATATATATATATATACTAGCTGTACCCGGCCACGCGTTGCTGTGGCATAGTTTGGCTAAATGGAAATGAAAGAAAATAGAAATCGCACGTGTCTAATACAATCATTGTCTGCTCAGATATAGAGATAGTCTTTGATCCCCACCCCACCACCCCCCCACCCCCAACTAAATCCACCTACTACCCTCCCCCTTATCAAATTTATGTCATTACCCCCCCCCCCCCCCCTCCCCTCCCCTCTTCCACCGACTACTGCTTTCTCCCTCTTCGAAATATTTGAAAATCATTACCTGGCGATATTTTTTTGTTGCTGTAACTGACATTGACATCCCTGTCCATCTGGACTAAAATGGGGAGCAGGAATTGTAATAGGTAGTGAATGGGGCTAGTGTAATATTTACCACATCATCCTTCAAGTACCAATACAACTACTAAAATAATTTCACTGCTATCTGTGTTACCATCGGAGTAGACAGAGAGTCGTGAGCCAGAAGATTTGGTTCCGCATGGCTAGTGCTGTCGCCACAGACTGGTCAGGTTAGGAGGTATAATTTCACTTGCCGACAGAAGAACGCCATAACCTTACCGACGGTCTTCACATGAGAGCACTATGGTGTAACAGCCCAACCACAACTATTACTACTGCTGCTACTTTAAGTGGGTAAAGCAGTTACTGTGTCTTAAAGCTCTCTCAGTAAATAGTTTGCCCCCCCTTCCCCCCCCCCCCCCCCAAATTCACCGACAACTCTTTCCCTCATTGAAGTAGTTGGGAGAAAAAAAAAAAACACTTGAAAAGCAAATGAACACAGCAAAAAAAAACACACCATAATTAGGAAATGAACGCCATGGTAAACAGCACAGCTTAAAATTCCAACGCAGATGAAATAACTAAATCTAAATGAAAATAAATGAAAATCTATAAAAAAATTTCAGCGTAACCATGCAATCGGAAAGTTTAATAATGCAATCATAAGTATGCGAAATGGTCAAATTTAATTATCAAATAATTTACCCATTTACTTGTCTTTTTTTTTTTTTTTAAGGCAACATGGCTAGTGCTGTCACCACGACAGAGCAGATGAGGATATTATTTTAGTCCGAGGTAAAAAAAAAAATTAACTACTGTGAATTCGAACCCAGGTCTCCCGCACAGGAACCCAGTGTTCTAACCATTCGACCAAGTAGCCACTTAATCGGATAAAGGAAAAGAGAACTTAACAATTAGAGATGTGTGTCCCTACTTCTGTGTCCTGATTAAAACACAATTCAAAACCGCAGGCAATTGTTTTCTTGTAGACAGATACTCCAGATATATTAATGAAACGGCACAACAATAGAAATCGCACGTGTCTAACACGGTTAATGAAGTTAATGTCGCAGTCAATGTCTGCGCCGACGTCGAGATAGTCCTTGATCCCCCCCCCCCCCATCCCCATCGAAGGTTGTTTGAAAAAAAAAACAGAAAATAGAAATCGTGTTTAATATGGTTATTGTGGCAAATATAGAGATAGTCTTGTTTGCTGTACCTAGACCTACTCTATGTATTAGAAAAGGCGTTGGCTGCACGTAACTCGCCGGCGAATGGCGGAAGCCTTGCGTTCTGACTACGGCGGCGCATGCGCAATTACTAACGTGGCTATAATTAGAAATCACTAAAGTTATAAATATAAGTTGCGTATATTATTGCATAAATTGTGGTCACCTATCTCTAACAGTGACAGGTTGAATTTCAAACCACGACAGTTCAAAATCCGGTATCACAACAAACATATCCTGAAAATTTCAGCTAAATCGGTTCAGTAGTTTCCGAGTCTATAGGGGTGAAACAAACATTGATATATATATATATATATATATATATATATATATATATATATATATATATATATATATATATATATATATATATATATATATATATATATATATATATATATATATATATCCATATTACATTCACATAAAAATACCCTGAACAGACTTCTATACTGCTTTTTCAAAATATTTTGTGATAACAAGCCCTACCGTCTTTAAACAACCAATCATTATTTGCAACTTTTGTTATTTCTTTTCTAATTGTTTTATTTGAATAGGGTGAGGTTGTTGCTGATCTTTTCTTACAAAAGTCACCAGAGAACCATTGTACCGATCCTGAACTTTTTCGAAAAGAGATGGCACAGCTGGTCGCTAAAGGTCGTCAAAATCTTAACAGTGTTTCTAAGGTGAATACAATGCAGTTTATCCAGTGTCCTCATTCTTTTATTTTTTATGGTCTCCCATTTTTTCTTTGGCTCTGTTGTTTTCAGTGTAAACTCTAGCTATCATGTTTTCTTGTGTATCCTATCCAATGCTCTTGATTCACTGGGAATTTATCTACCTCTGTCCAAAAGCTCAGTATTCTGTCTAATTTTAATACATGCATCATTAATGAATGTTTGTAGTTTATCAGATTCTCTGAATACCATGGGCAAAAAAAAAAAAAAAAACCAAACACTGACATTCTAAAATACCTGAAAATCGAGGAAGATTGGCTAGTAAATAGTGTCTTGTCTCAGAAACTGAAATATTTTGGCCATATCAAGCACAATAGCAGACTGGAAAACATAATGGCTGACTAGCATCAAGGTGAGCACTAGCAAGAATATCAGTTTGGGCAGGAAAGTGCAGGATGTGGGAGAACTGGTGACGGACCCTTGCAAATGATATTGAGAGCAAGGTTCTGCAAAGAAAAAACTACTGCTACTGTTGTTCACCATTTCTATTACTCATTTGATGTTGTAGTTCAATATTATAAGTTTGGTGCAAATAATTCTAGCGCTACCTAAGTTTGTTATTATTTTTAATTTTTTTGTATTTTTATTTGGTGTCTCTGTTAATTATTCATAACTGTCTTCATTCTGTATCTTCTTCTTCTTTACGCTTGGTTTCATATGCTCAGATCAGACCATCAGGTGGGTTGCCTCTATGAACTCGCATGTCAGATGCAGGTCCTGCATGGTTCCCAAAGCTTGCTCTGCACACTTTGCTCTTGAGGCCAGGTGTCTTTTCGGAGTTGCAGATAGAGTGGGCAGGTCTGCAGAATGTGCTGAGGTGTTTGGGGTCCTGTTTGACAGGCAGACTGTGGGGAGTGTACAATCTTTATTTTATGCATGTGGTAGTTGAGCCTGCAGTGTCCTGTCCGTAGATAGAAAATTGTTGCATGCTGCTTTCTGTTGAGTCTGCTGATGGGGTCTTGTGGATGTTGACTGTTAGTTTGTTCTCTCCACAATCCCTTGTATTTTCCTTTCATAAGTGTTCTGATTTCTGGTAATGACAATGAATGGGAGTGTTGTTTCTCCTTTGTTCCATTTTTTGCAAGCCTGTCTGCTAACTCATTTCCTGGCATGCCGGGATCCACTGGAGAATGATTTGATTGTTTTCTGTGAGTCTGTTTAGCTGACGTGTCAGTTCTCTCTCCATGTTGTCTCGTGGATCCCAATGAGTCCTCTGGAGGACTGACATGCAGTCACAAAGGAAAACAATTTTGCTGTTTTTAATTTTTCTTTCCTCGAGCACTTTGGCTGAATCAATAATTGCTCGCTGCTCTTCTCTGAAGTTTGTTGAGAGTCCTCTGGAGGCGCATGATTTTTCTACTGTGGTCAGTTCTGTATAAAAACAGTAGGTGTATGATTGCACAGTCTGAAGTTGGGATTCACCAAGGAAAATTGGGTTACTGTCGCTTGATTTAGTCTCATAATAAAAAATAAGGAAGTCTGGAGAAGGACAAAGATTAAAGAATTTAAAAACAGCTGACCAGCAGCAGTGTCTTACCAATGCCATTGAGACACACAGACAGACAAAAAGGCTGACATGATCCAAACAGGGTGTGTCCCTGCAACTAAACTGTAAATAAATGCTGAGCATTACACCAACACATTGCTAACGGAGAGGTCTTCTGGCCTGTTCCAACCTGAGTGGGAAGAGCTGAACTGCACGACAGCTCAATATGAGGTTTTTTAACAAAAAAATCGAAGAAGAAGAAGAAAAGTTGAAGCAGCAATGATCAAAGTATTTTCAACCGGCAGGTGATTGTTATACATTGACATATACACACAGGCACAGACGTACACTAATTATGTATCATTGCTTGTTCAGATCAGAGTTGCTGAACTGATGAATGAACTCTTCACCATGCTGTCCCGTCATAAGATTCAACTAGACTCCAGTTTTGTCACCATCGTTTTGGCCATTGCCATGCTGGAAGGAGTTGGCCGCACTCTAGACCCAAACCTGAACTTGATGGATAGAGCCAAGTCTGTGCTTCTTGGCAGTTACCTCAGAAAGTAATGCTATCAACAGTTTTCCGTACTTGATTTCAAACAGTGACCTATTTTTAAACCTATACTAAATACGTTTTGGCTTTTATCCCCCAGGCTGGGGTGTCCTTATATATTTTGTCCACTAACTGGCTGAAGCCCTGCATTTCCTCCCTCAAAAGATGTAAAGATTATATAAATGATTAATCAATAAACATGAACATAAAGTGGAATCATTCCTCAGGGTTTAAAAAAAATTAAAATTTATTGAGTGTCTCATGCTAGGATCCCATGACCTCCATCATAGAGGCTTATGGGAAAATCTGACAGTCAAAGTTGCTGTCAAAAAGTCTTTGGGGTCGTAAGAAAATACATACCAACGCACCCAACATAGGATCTTCTAGCTCTTTGTTTCACACTTGTTACATTAGGAATCCTGTGTGCACTAAGATTCAGCCACTTGATGTCTGCAAAGTTGTCATAAAAGATGAATGGATGAATTCTGGGGTCAGTTTGACACCAGCAGGTATGTGGCCTATAGGAGAAGGTTGTACCTGGCTGACAAGATCCTGGAATAATTTGAAGATTTAGATCATTCAAGAAGTATGTCATTTCAAATGCCACAGATAGAAATAAGGATGAGGCAAAATGATCATCAGTATACATCATAGTTTTTCCCAGTCTCAAAACCAAGGTGCCTCTTATACATAAGAAATAGTCCATGACATACATAAAAATTATGCATGTTGTCAGGCTCTTCATAAAATTTAATCTCTGCATCTCCTAATTCAACATTAGATCTGAAATGGCTCCCATAGGTGTTTTTTGGAATCAGAAACTAAATAAACTCACGAAGAGAATTGTTCATATCAAAATCTACATTTTTAGTAGGAGGAGAAAACATTGTGATGGTGGGCAAGTTAGAGGGTGTCAGAACTGATTAAAAGCAAACAAGACAGAAGATCTCACCATGGTGTCTACAGGGCAAATCCAGCTTGCCAATATCCTGCAGAGCATTGCCAGTTGTAATGTAATAAATGTTTCAACATTTTGGCTCCTGAGTTTTGCATAGTTCTGGCATGATGTCATAAGATGGAGTGCGATACAAGCAAAAATGTCTGCTGTGCAATCAATTTAGTTCGCCATTTGTGTAACTGCATAAAGCACTTTTTTGACTGTAAACAATTTCTTATGTATTAAAAAAGCTAGCCCTGTCATGGTTTAAAAAATATACAACTGGCTGATAGCATTTTAATGCCAGACTTTCTGAGCATTCCTGCCTGTGGATGCTACTTAGAAAAGAACAACCAGAAAAATGAGGCAGCCAGACATAGTTAAGTCAACACTTTCAGAGTTGTGTAAAAGGCAGGGCTATGTGACGATTTTGGTATTACAACCGAGACCATACGTCAAGAAATTGTCAAACACTGCCACAGGCCCCGGTGGCATCTAATATGTTGATATACTGCAGGTGTCAGAGGACGATATGACAGATCAGGCAGGAGAAAGTTCAACGTCAGCATCAAAAGTGGTGAGATCAAAGAAGAATGGCTACCCCCTACCGCTACCAAAACCAAATTAAAAAACATTCCAAGATAAGTGGCTACGGAATCAATACCATGCAGAACACTAGGGGCAGGCTGCTGGAGAAAATTGTATTGCGTAGACTCGCTGATGACTTGGAGAAGCATGACAGGTTACCACACTTAGATGATACAGGCGTAGCAAAGAGACATGGCTCAATGCAGCAGTTTTCACCTGTGAAGTCTATGAAGGTTTTCACATGAGAGAAAAGACGTGCAGCTGCACTAGGCTTAGAGGATGCGTACAACATTTGAATACTTGGTGCACATACTTCTCCGACTGGAAGTATCTTTTTTGATCACCCGCTGGGTAGCCGCGGCACTGTTCCAGAGACGGGTGATACTCAGGTGTGGTTGCTGGTCCAAGATTGCCTCAGGGCGCCTTCTCCAATTCTATTCAACGTGTGCTGAAACTGAGCAGCATTGCACGGGAGTGGCAGGACATTATCATTTGCTGATTACATTTTGACAGATCAATATGGAATCAAGAGAGTAAAGGACAGCAGACTAAAAAGTGGCAAATCATGACCGGGTAGAGCAGAGGATGCATCAAGCAGGACTGCAGTCTTAAGAAATCCACTCTGGTGAGGTATGGATACCGTGCATAAAGTACTCAATCTCACGTGTCTTCATGCTTGATAGGAGTTGTTGGAAGCCGAGGTCTGCGTGATCATCAGTGACAAGTCCAAGAAGCCAGTGGCGCCTTTTCCATGACTACCGACATGATGGAGGTGATGGCAGTGACACAAGCTTTCATATGGCTAAAATCACAGGACTATTACCGCTTGTGCGTGCTGAGCATTATCCGGTATGTCGAGGCAGGCTCGTTAAGCAGAACTCTCCTGTGTGTGCAGTTACCATCATATTTGTCCCAGGGCATGCTCTTGAATAAGTAAGATATATGGTCGTAGATGTGAAAGTAAATACATGCATCCTGAAGAAATTAGAGTGTATAAACCAGATGAGGTAGTGTATATGTGTTACTACATGAAAAGAAAATATGTGTATGATGACTCATAAGTATGAATGCGTTTAGATGTGTGAGAGAGTAATGTAGGAGTACATATGGATATGGATACTCGGGATGTACGTATGCATGGTTGTGTGCAATCATACACTCCTAACACCGTAAGGAAATTATCATCTTGCTCCATATCATGCAGCTAACATATTCATGACTTGCAGGACACAGTAGAGTACACGGTCGAACGACAATAGGATAGACAAATGGGTTGATCCTGACAAGAACAGAGTTCTTAACCACCCACTTCCCCCTAAATGGTAAGGCTGGTGACCTGACACAGATCCTCCTGACTATTCACTGACCAGCCATGTAGGAATCCATCATGAACCAAGAACAATGACCACCCAGAAGTAAATGCAGACAATATAGAATGGTTCCCCACCCTCTTCCCCCAACAATCTTCCTACTGCACTATGAGTTCAACCCATGACCCCTCCTTTCCCCCCCCCCACCTAATCCATCAGAGAGTCTTCTCTAAGAGCACATGAGTTTCAAGGCACGTCAGGTACACCTGCGTGAAGACCCCCACCCCACAAACCACAACAGTCTTCATCATCAAGCACATGAGTTTCTGAGCATGAAAGTCCAAGCAGATGACAAGTGTGTTCCGGGGATTTGTTATTTACATACACCAGAGCCCAGTCACCAATCTCAATCTCCACAAAAGGACCGTTCTACGGCCAATAACACATAGAATCATTGTGAGATTTGAAAAACATATAAATGGTGACCCAAGTGATAGGAGGTGTTTTTCTCGCTCTCATTATTTGAGATTTTTTTTAGCCCTGTTGCATTGGAGATCTGAGAATGATGTCATACAAGGTGTCTAATAAGGGTTATTTCCTAATGCTAATGTTTTGAAAAGTTCCAACAAAGCAACTTGGTTGTCTATTTTTGTTTGGCTGCTTCTTGTTTCCACTATAGGTTGATTAAAATTAATCTTAGATCTTTGGCATCAGTTTTTAATGTTTTCAAAATTATAATATTTTTTTCATGCTCAACATCAAATGATTTAGTGTAATTATTAAAGTAAAGTACAAATACAGATCCCTGTTCATTTCCATCATTCTTTCTAAAAGTGTTCTCAGATATATATGACGTTTATTTTGTGTTCATTTACCTTTAACAAATCCATTCTGCTCTTCAATTTATGTTTTAATTTTGCACCTCATTCCAACACTTAACAGGCATTATCAGTTGTTTTACACTTGTGGAGCTTTTGAGGAGGAGATCAGAGCACCTATGGATCTGTCCGGAGTGCTGTGATCATACTCCTTACTAATCACCTCATTCTTGTCGCGACAATACTGCCAAAAAACTAAAACTAAGTTCCTTTTCGCTGCTGTAATTAAACAGCAAACTGCGGCAGTCAAAAAAGACGGCGTGGAGATAACATACAGACAGACAGATGTATGAATTCTTGGAGTCGCCAACTGGAAAAAGACAAGGCCAGTCACTGAAATGGAGGTGGGTGATTTTGATGTAGGGATGAATCTAAATGGTTCGGAATGCTGAAAAAGAAAAAGATATTGTAGTAAACTAACTTACCTGTGTCCTTGTCTTGTCTTGAGTAATACAAATATGCACTCCTTGTGTTGTTGTTCGTCCATCACGAGTGATGTAGATCACTTTCATCCAAAGTAGTAATGATCAATGATTATGAGTACGAAGGTGGCTGATTAGTCCAATATGAGCCAGGAAAGTTCTTAAGCATTGCGGACAATGTATGGAAGCCGCAGCAGGTGTGGGATTAGCAGTACGAGCACTCTGTAAATGTTTGCTGAATGCCAGGGAACATCTAAACGTAGCAGACTAGATGCGAGAGTACTCTTGGATGATCTGTCTGTCCACTGATCTGTTGGCTGTGCAAATGACATCAGTTCTCGTTATGCCTAGTGGCACATGAGGTTTCAGAGAGGACTTTCCATGCTTTCCTGTCCTGTGCAATCTTCAGTGCAGTTTTCCATGTCTGAGATGCAGCACTCAGGTCACTTTCCATCGTTTGTCTCCATATTTTTTTTGGGCACCTCTTTTTTTTCTCTTTCCCTCTGGTATCCATGTGAGAGCTGTTTTGGCAGGTATATCAGGATTCATTCTCATAACGTGGCCAAGCCATTTTTAACTTCTCTTGGTTATCATACTGTCTATAGTTTCTTGGTTTGTTGCTTGAAGTAGTTTAGTGTTTGAGATTGTATCTGGCCAGAAAATTTTTATATATCTACGTAAACATGTGTGGTGGAAGGTGGATATCTTGTGTTCATCCTTTTAGGTCATACTCCAGCATTCTGCTCCATAAAGAAAAACTGGCAAAATGATGCTCTTGTAGAG